ATACACAAAAAATGAATTTAACAATATTAAGAAAATATTTTAATGAAACGAAAGATTGCTAAATACAGAATACCTTTATGATGTAAAAATTTATGTTGGTATAGAACCAAATATTAAAGAAGTTCATGCACATTCATCAATCATATGTGCTCATTGTCCTTTTTTTCAAAATGCTTTTATTTTAAAAGATTTTTAAAATTGAATTGGAAGATTTTACTGGAGTTGGTGTATTGCAATTATTGATTGCAGCTGATGAACTTGGTCTTGAGTTATTTTGTGAATACACAATGAAGTACTTTATCAAAAAACACAAGGATTACATTAAAGAAAATCCAGTTAAAATCCTAAGATCAATCTACTCTGATGAAGAAAAATTTAAAGAATTGAAAATATTTGCTTGGAAAAATTTTGTAGTTATGGTGAAAAATTATTCCAGTCAAGTGAATTGGAACTGTTGGAAAAACCAGTTTTAATAGCTATACTTGAAAGAGATGATTTTAATGTTGATGAAATAATTATTTGGGAAGGTATTCTTAAATGGGGATTAGCCAAGCATCCAGAAATTAACAATATTAATTATGTTAAAGTTTGGTCAAAGCAAAATTTTACTGATTTGGGGAACACATTAAAGGATTTAATTTTATTAACCAGATTTAAAGACATTTCTAATAAGGATTTTCGTTCCAAAATTATGCCTTATAAGAAGCTTTTCCTAAGGATTTATGGGAAATTCTTTTAGACTATTATGTAGCTTCTGATGAACAACAAACCTTAAATTTGCTACCATCAAGACAACCAAAACTTGAATCAGCAACAATTAATCAAAATCTTACATTGCTTTTTGCAAGTTGGATTGATCGAAAAAATTCACCATATAATTCATCAAGAGATGTCAAATATAAATTTGAGCTTTTATATAATAGTAGTAGAGATGGTTTAAATCCAACAGCATTTCGTCAAAAATGTGGTAATATCAAAAAAACTCTTGTAATTGCAAAAATACAAAATTCAGATCAATTAGTTGGTGGTTATAATCCACTTGATTGGAATCTAATTTTTTTTTTAGCCAAAAACGCCAATGCAAAAGAACAACTGATAGTTTTATATTTAATATATGCAGTAGAAATGATATTAACACAGCACAATTAAGTTATGTTATTAATAGTGAATATGCAATTTGTTGTGGTAAAACTTATTTACCGTTTTTTGGTATGGATGTTAGATTTGTTTCAAATGGTATTATTGTTGTTGATCCAACGTCTTATAATAACATCAATATAGTAGATGGTAGTAAATTTGATGAATTGGAAATTTATCAAATAGTTAATAAATAAATATTAAAAAATTCAAAAATACCAAAGTCTAATCATTATCAATAGAATTCATTTATATATTTATTTATATATGTTTGGTACAAATGACTGTGCCGCGTAAACGGAATATGAGATTTTCTTTGGAGAAAAAACAGTTTCAGTTCAGAATGAGTTTCGAAATAAACAACAAAACTATTATAGAGAAGTAGAAGTAATTGTGCCGTTGCAAGTAGCTATAGGATAAAACACTATTATACATAATTTGATAAACTTTAGCCATTTAAGAATGTAACCTCTGATATAATTGTCCGGTTTAACCGCGGTTTGGTTTACACATTTCAAACCACAGTATAATTGTTTAGGTTGAACCATGGTTAAGCCCCAGTTTGAAACTGAAACTGATTATATATACACGTTACATTCCTTAAGTTATAATTAATTTTTATTGGTCGGACCAACTGATAGTGACCCTTTATAGGTAGCGTTTTTATTGATTGAATTTTGAATTTTCAATAATGTAATAGTCGTTTTTCAAAAATATAAATATGTATTATTACTCTTACCACTATTGTTACTGCCATTATCAATTTTAACAAAATTAAGTTATGTTCCTTAAAAAAATTTTTTTCGCAAGAATATCAAGTTCAAAGTAACAAAAGAGTTGATAATGCCCATCACTTCAACTTCATTTGTTCAAGCTTTTGATACAATAATTCAATTTGAATACATGACATTACACTTATACCTCATCATCATCACCATCATCACCATCATCATCATCATCATCATCATCATCATCGTTCAAATTCCTAATTATTCACGAATCATTAGAACTACTTCAAAAGTAGATGAATATTTTATGAAATTCAGAAGTGCCGTCCACATATAGTGGGATTGGAAAAACTTCAACTGATACCATATCTGATGAAGATGATAGTAGTGATGTTTAAAATAGCTTTAATTGTTGGAACGAACAATTTTTTTTTTTTCATTTATTTATAAACTTGGGTTTGAACCACGGTTCAAACCACAATAGTAAACTGCTGGTCAGTGTGGTTCACTAGTCAAACTGGCAGCTTATAAATCGAACCATTACATCCCTATTTACAAGTACACCCACACAAGATTTCATCTTGGAATAAAAAATTCCAAGCATGAATATCCGGAATGTGCAAAACTTTTTGTCAAAATAGTGATCTGCTAGTTTACACAAGATGCTGCCAGTTATCTGAGTATGTTTGAAGCACGCGCTCAAGAAAATTGCTTATATGACTCTTATTTATCATCTTAATATAATGCCACCAATATGTTTTTTTCTACACTAAATGGAAATATATCGCAAGATACATTTGAACCCATTTGATGATTCAAATGAAATTATCATCGCATATGATATTTCAAATGATAATTCACGTTAAAATTTAAAAGATTTCACGTGATTCAACAGCTAGGGGCACCCAATAATCACTATCAGGTTAAATTGGTAGTTATACTAAGGCTGAAGGCCTGGACGAAATTGTCAACAATTATTACCAGTTCACAGGATAGATAATTTCTAAAGATGTGCAATCATCTTTTTTTTATTAAATACACTTTATATACAAGCAAACACACGAAATTATAACTTTTATTTGCATGGGCTTTTGGGTCATTTTTCACTTTACACAAACACATACAATATAAACTCGCGAACACTTTTTTAGTGCAATAACTGCCGTCTGGCTTGAAGCAATATGAAGTTTTCGAAGCAGATCGCAACTTTTGGTCACTGGCATTTGCCAACCTAAATGGTGTTAAAATCTATTTATTACATACACAACATTTAAGTTTAACCCTAAGGGCATAAAGCGTAAACTAGAAATTTCAATTAATGGAAACACACCTTGCCAAATATAGGGTAACTAGTAATATGGGCAATAAATGTCGCCCATCTTTTTTATTAAAACTCTTTTTATAATTAATATATTATATATATATACTAGCACATGTTTGGAGAAAAAATATAAAATATATATGGAAAATAGAGGGAGGCCAACGAATCTATGCCAAAAGGAACGCAATCGATATTAATAATAGAGGAGGACCAACGATTTCATGCCGAATGACTCTATTATTGAATTAGAATGACCGTAATATTAGAGTAAAAGAATTCAAATTCTTGTTGAAGGTCACCACCCCTGTGTCTTGACTTAGGAGTTGGGTTTTTGATGAAGAAAACCTCGCCTTAAATTAAATGAACCAACGATTTCATGCCGAATAACTATTATTAATTTTGAATAACCGTCAATAATTGAATTACTTAGCGAGTAAAAGAATCAATTTCTTACAAGACATGTGCGCAACAACACCAAACAAACAATGCAATTAGGCAGTGTCCCAACCACGCACTACACTTGTCCACGGCATCCGACATTTATCCGTGGTCCAGTAGTGTCAAACGCCACTACTTTAACATAATTAAAACCAACCTATTCTTCTTAGACTCATCACAACTGAACTAACAACGCAAAAAGTAGGCAGTGTCCCAACCACGCACTACCCTTGACCACGGCATCCAATATTTACCCGTGGTCCAGTAGTGTCAAACGCCACTACTTTAACATAATTAAAACCAACCTATTCTTCTTAGACTCATCATCATAACTGAACTAACAACTCAAAAAGTAAGCAGTGCCCAACCACGCACAAACAAGCAAATAGGCAGTGCCCCAACCACGCACAACCCTGTCCACGGCATCCAATATTTTTATCCATGGTCCATAACTGGGGGAGTGCCCCCAGGCCCGCGTCCCAAACAAGCAAGCGATCAAGCAAGCAAGCGATCAAGCAAGCAAGCAATCAAACAAGCAAGAGGAAGTGCTCCATCCACCGCACAACCCTGTCCGCGGCTACCGATATTTTTCCGCGTTCCAAACAAGCAAGCAAGTAGGAAGTGCCCCGACCACGCACAACCCTGTCCACGGCATCCGACATTTATCCATGGTCCAAACAAGCAAGCAAGTAGGAAGCAAGTAGGAAGTGCCCCGACCACGCACAACCTTGTCCACAGCATCCAAAATTTATCCATGGTCCAAACAAGCAAGCAAGTAGGAAGTGCCCAACCACGCTCCAAACAAGCAAGCAGGTAGGAAGTGCCCCAACCACCGCACAACCCTGTCCATGGCAACCAATATTTAACCGTGGTCCAAACAAGCAAGCAAGCAAGAGGAAGTGCCCCAACCACGCACAACCCTGTACGCGGCCACCACTATTTATCCGCGCTCCAAACAAGCAAGCAAGTAGGAAGTGCCCCAACGCACGCACAACCCTGTCCACGGCACCCAATATTCTACTGTGGTCCACGAGTAATGTCCACATCCCCACACTCAAGTAATATTTACACTGAATGCAATTGCATATTTTTGTATAATTTTTATTGAGTAAATGAATGCAGAGTAAATTTTTAATTTTGATTACTATTATTGCTAAATCGTTAAAATTGAAGACTTGCATCATTCAATAACAGATAATAGCTAATTACATGAATTTTATTAGTCTCCGACTAATGTTAAACAACCACTCAAAAATTTTGGAAAAGAAAAAAAAATTTTAAATCAAATTAATTAATTTGACTTCAATATTTCTTTTCTTTTCTATAATAGTACGATCCTACTTTACAGAATAATGACAGGTTTCCCGATTCAAAAAGTTTATCCATAGAGTAAAGTTTACCCAATTCGTATAAATTTCGACATCATTTCGTCATCATTTCGTCATCATTTTGCCATCATATTGCTACTATTCATTTTTTTTAATGATAGCTGTTTTGTGTAACACATCCGTGTCATTTTTCTACTATATATAATAATAACTATTACTATTACTATATGTGAAAATAAATTTCGAAATGAAACTTTTTCAAAAATCTCGTTATTTTTATAATAAAATGAGAATACTCCATTAAAGTTCTCTAATGAATACCTTTTCATATCGAAAGGTCTTCTCTACATGAATTCACGGCTATTCAAAAACAGTATTACTTTTTCACTTCAAAGCTCAGATTATTTCTCAATATCGCTTTAAAAGACTTGATAGTAAATAAGAAGGTGTATAATACACTAAGCTTTCATATGGTCATTATTTTATGGATCTGATTGTAAAATATATTTAATGAGCGCTTTATCAATTATTCAAATAATTATATAGGCGGGCTTGGTAGAAGTGAGTGTTAAAGTCAAGATCTATTTGCAAATAAAGTTTCCAAAATGAACGTTTATTATTATAGGCGGGTTTGATCAAAGTAAGTCTTAAAGTCGAGATCCACGAAGCTTTTTGTAAAATATATTTAATTAGCATTTTATTATTAACAATTATTCAATAACTATATAGGCGGGTTTGATCAGTCAAGATCTATATAATTAGATTGTTATTAGTTAATAATGGAATTTTATTACATGCAAAAAAAAAATTTTTGTAAATTTTGTTTTATTAAATAAATTTGTTTGATTTTTTCATACATCGTTCGTGTTTCCTCTTGATCGTATATCTTAAATTGGTCGCGTTTACAATCATTTTGACATTCGTTATATTAAGGTTATTTTGATTATATCGAGAGATATGGTCAAGAGAAGAGTTAGGAAGAGAGTTATTCTTCAACCAAGTCGAAAACCAACCCTTTAAATACATTTTCGAGTAGTACGATTTAATTTATTAGACTATTTCAAATGGTTGCTTCCAACTTCTTAAATTCGAACCATTTGTTAACGAAACAACTGTTGGTGAAATGATTGTTGACAAAATGAATCATGTATTTTTATTATTGCTACGAAACACTCGGCGCAGTGGTATTTTTATTTTCTGACCATCTTGTATAACGTTGTATAATGATAAATGATTTCATGGTTTGAATGTGCTCACCATCTGTAAACTTGATTGCTTGAAGATGGACAGGGATGTCGTAGAGGAATTTCTCTACGAAAAAACGAAAAAAAATCTGGGGACGGCCATCCTATTTGTATTTTTTTGATTAATAAAATAGACTATTGTCTTGACCTGAGTGATGTCGTTGTGTGAGTAAAAGACACGAAGCTCACTGTCACGTTTTCGTTTAAAAACTTGTTAGAAAACAACAAAATCAAATCCGATGCAACATTCAGGATTAATTGTGAATGATTTTATCTATAAAAAGGAATTTGCAGTTTCACGAAGTTGGTTGCATCGTGATAAATCCTCTTTTCTCTATTAATCATGATGTGATCATGCTGGGAGAAGTCAACATGGCATGTTGATGTTGATATTGAGGAGATATTGAAAATCAACTTGTTAAACTTGATTTTTGGAGAAGGAATTTCTATTTTCGAGAGATGTTAAATTGCAGATTAATTTTCTTTCCAAGGTCGTAAAACCTTTCTACTTTCAATGACACCTGTTAACCTTCCGTTTTTTCTCTTGCTAGTCTTTTTAACTTTTGCTTGATTTTCTCTGCTATCTTCTTTCGTGTTGAAATCAACATGAATTTATTTAATAATTATTTACAAAATAAGAAAAAATGTATATACATGTTTTTTTTTGTCATGAAAGACAAAAAATGCATTATTTATCTATTATACCGAGATAAAATCGTTATATTCTAAGAACTATTTATCGGAGATCTTTGCAAACAATTACTTTTTCGATTAATAAAACTAATAATTTCTTTGAAAACCATTACTTTTTTGATGTGGCTCACATAAACCAATCCATTCCTTTCTAAAATTTGTTATTAATGATTGTGTGATAATCACACAAACTCGCAGCAACCTCTTATCACATTAATGAATCAAGCTTTCTTAATTAAATCAAGTATATCGATTTAAAAAATTAAAATGCTAATATTCATTATTTACCGAAAAAACTAGTAATGTTTGTTTGTATTGATTTTGAATATTATATGATTTAATGATTTTAAACCTTTAATTTATTATGATCTGCTTGTATATTATTTTGTTCAAGAAAGTCAAAAGCAGGCTCAAAAGCTTTTACAGTTTCATTTATTGAAACATTAGGAATAGTCGTGTACTACTTACAATAACATCCTCCTCCTCTCAATTTCCTTAAGAATTAAGAATTCCCTCTTCAGTTGGCATTTCATTATTTTCATCATTATATACAAAATTTTGAGAATTATTCGTATAAAATCATTATTTAGAAATATGGAAATTTTTGATATTTAGTAATGCATTTAGAAATTTGAGAATTATTTATGTAAATCATTTAGAAATATTGTTTAATGAATAATTAGATTTATTTTATTTTATTTGTATTCACATCATGTAATAGTGATACATATCTTTTACGTCCTTCTGGGTTTATTTTTATGTTGTCATTTCGGCAACATTTTTGTTTCATAAAATAAAGCAAGGTTCTATGAGACCATGATTAATCTGTAACATACATGAGTGTTAATTGCTATAAATAAAAATTCACGCGCGTGAAGATTCTTCATGCCGATAACTTTTTGCAAATTCAAAAATTTCAAACAATTATTAACAGAACAAATTTCTATACCATTTATGATACCTTTTTCAAGACAAGCATGATGAAATATATGACCACATGGTAGAGTGGTAAATGGCTTTTTTATTAAACTCAAAAATAATTCTGTCCACAATATCTCCTGGGGAGGTATTTTTAAGAATATTTAATGCAAGGATTTTGAGGTTAGAAAGAGACATATTATCAACAGTTATAACCAGATATCATTTCCCGCACAACCTCACCTGTTTTTATAATGCATTAGCTTGTACTTGCACCCATATGCCTGCTTGAAATTATTACAAGACTTCATTCCGTATGGGAAAACTGAAATTTCATTTTGGTTAAAAAATTATTTTCCTTACTGTCAAATTTAGATATGATTGTCGAGTATTAGTCTAAATTAGTAATGATAGTCGAAAATTAGTCTAAATTTAGCAATGATCCTAGTGTTCAAATTCCTTATGAACATACAATTTTAAAAATGAATAGAACAATAAATAAATTTTTTTGAAAAAATCTCTCTATTACATTAAACTAATAGAGCCATTTTTTTAAAAAGTAGGACTATGGTTGCTTGCCAAAACTCCTCTGGAAATCAATTGGCAGAATTTTGACATGATACACCCTATTGTTTATTAGAGTTTTGGCAGAGTTTCACATTTGAGGGTTTTGACAATTAGCAGAGTTTCAGCAGTCATTAATAGGTTTTAGCAAGCAACTTTAGGCAGTGTTGGCATTTTTATATGTCCAATTAATTTCCAATTGGATTTGTCTTGTCCAATTGTCTAATCCAAATCCAATTGGCACAGTAGCTATTTGGACATTGGCATGTCCAAATATTTGTGAGACATTTTAAATTTCTAAATTTTAACATGATATAAAATATAATGTTTATTTGGAATTAGAACAATGAGAAATAAGCCTCATTCTTAAATTAATGATTTTTTTGTTTCTTTATTTTGTTTTTATCTCAGGTAATAACAATATATCTAATGCATCCACATTAATGTCAATATCATCAACAACATTGCTAAATAAAAACATCATAAATTTGTCTTTGGATTCTTTCAAAGCAATAATACTAATAATATAATATTGTTACCGGAATTAGATTTGGACGCTCTTTTGGCTGTAATTAACTAATTCCGAAATTCTTGATTTTATTTTTATTTTATAACCTTTATTTTATTAATTTAGTATTATTTTATCTGTATTTCGTAATACGTTTTATTTTTAATTTTATTTAACTTATTTAAGAAAGAATCGTCTTTCCAATATTTCAATATTGTGATATCCGCGCAATTTTCAAATATCGTCTCAATTTTGAGATATTATTGCAATATTGAAATACCTTCTCAATATCGAACAGATATTGCAATATTGAAATAACTTTTCAATATTGAGCGGATATCTTAATTTTGAGATATTAGAATTTCTAATTAATTGAATTGTATATAAAGAACTCAATTTCGACCTACTGTAAAAATAACTTTGTGATAAGATAATTAGTTTCGACTAAAGAAGACTTTGTTACAAGTTAATTAGTTTTGACTAAGGAATAACTTTGTGATAAGTTAATTAGTTTCGACTAAGGAAAACTTTCTAACAAGTTAATTAGTTTTGACTAAGAAAAACTAAATAAATAAAATAATAAATATTTTATTTTATTTAAAACTTTTATCTTTTTTAAACAAAATTATTTGTTAATCCAAAATCAATTTGTTGATAACCTATTCATTCTGATCCATACAAATACAAAAATAATTGTTATCACTAATCAAAACAAACTCTCCCAAATTTAATTGGTGACAATATTTTATTTTATTTAAAGCTAGCCAATATTTTATTCTTCATTTATTGATATTAATTAATCTCTATCTATTTCACATTGGTTATTTATTGCATAAATCAATTTTCTTTTTAATTCTGCTTCTTCATTATTTGGTGGAACTATAATACAGTTATGACATGTTCTACCAACTGGATAATAATGTTCTTCTTCAGTTGGAAATGCATCAAGATTAAGCCCTAATACCTCCCATCCACCAATTGGGAATCTTGTGCTACCTGTTGCAAATCTTAATAGTTGCTTACGATCTTTCATGTCCAGATTACTCATAATCCTTAACACCATCATATAGTCCCTATCACTTATTGGTGATTGATTTTTTTTTTGAATGTATTTCTTTAATGTATCTAATTTCCAATCTTCTTTTGTTCTACCACAAAAGAAATATGTAAACTCAGCTGGTGTTGGTGTTAAATATTTAAGATATTTGAATGGAAATAAATGTTCAAATCCTGTTTTATACCAATTTATTTGTCTATTTACACCTTTATTAAAAAAATATTCTATGAAAATATTTTGAAAATTTGCTGCTGTTTTATCTGTTTCCTCCTCAAAATTAATCTCACAAAATGCTGGTGGTGATGGTATATAAAAATCTGGCCATTCATCTGTTGAATTGATCATTTTTAATTGCATGACCAATGGCTCATATAATCCTTCTATTTCATCAATACCATAATCATATTTTACATTTTCATTTAAATCTTTTAATAATAATGTTAAAAAAATTTTGCTCATGTTTAAATCCACTATACAATTATTAAATAAACCAACAGATGTAAGTGCACCCAATAATTTAAAATTATTTAAAAGTTTACTATGCCCATCATTATCAGTATCATTATCTTCATCAAAACCATCACCATCAACATTTTCATTAATTTCTCTCATATCTTCTCCAATTAATGTAGGATATAATCCTGATTTGTAGGGTTGTACATATTCACCTTCATATGCTACTGAACTATTGTTGATCCACATTTTTTTATTTTTCTTGAAAAATTCTTCTGATAAAATTGTAAAAAAATCACGAGTAACTCCAAGACCTACTCCTCCTAATCCTTTGAATTTAATTTTAATTTTGTGTGAAAGACTGGCTGTCTTTTCAAGTTGTTTCAATGCCCAATCAAACACCTTTTCACGTGTTTGGATCTCTTTATCTTTCCAAACTGGCAACAATCTTTTAATAATATTAAATTCCCATTTAGAAAATCCTGATATATCTTGATCTCGTTCATTATACATACGTATACCAAAAACCTGTGCCTTAAATAACTTTAATTGATTTCTTCCAGAAACTAAAAATCGGTAGTCATGAAAAACAGAATACACCCAAAGAGGATATACTCCTGTCAAAATTGCTATTGGTTTTTTTAATTTCTCATTCAAAACCTCATCCATGTTTTTAAAAATAAACAAATTGCTCTGATAATTTTCACCTTCAATCATATTAACATACAGCCAGTGTAATAGTTTTAAAAGCTCCAATGTTGACTTGTTGTTTTCAATAACCTTACAGTCAAGTGTAGGTGGTAGGTTTGGATCAACAGTATATGGTTCATTTGAATATTTTAATTCAATCTCATACTGTTGATTTAAATTCCACTTAGAATTGGTCATCATATACCAGTGGATTGCTGCATAAATTGTTGTATCAAGTGGAATACGTTGATCTCCAATATAAAATTGCCAATGTGTTTCTTTATAAGAAAAAAAGTCATTGCTTTGATGCTGACCATCTGATGATGATGAAATGGTACTTGTGGCATCATCATCATGATTGTGAAATTCTGTTGTTTCATCATAAAATATATTATTTTCATGTTCAATCCCATATCTATCACTATAGAATAGTTCTTCTACATGTTCAATAAGATCAAATTCTTCATCAGTATACTCACCATTTTCATCAGCATGGCCAAATCCAATTCTTTCCTGCTCAATAACCTCATCATAACTTCTTTCGCCATTTTCATTATCATTATCATTATCATTATCATTATCATTACCATTACCATTTTCAATTTCATGGTCACCTGTATATTCACCCTCATCATCTTCATTCTCATTATTGTTATTATCATTATCATTATTATTGTTATTATTATTATTATTGTTGTTGCTGCTGCTGCTGCTGCTGTTATTATTGTTGTTGTTGTTATTATCATCATTAGTGTTTATTTGTGAACCAGAAAGTTCCAATCTGTTTTGATCTGCAAATAATTCATTAAGTTCTTCATGATCTTCCTCATTGTCATCATCTTCTTCTTGTTCTTCCCTACCCCCTTCAAGACCAAAATTTTGTTGTCCATTAGTAAGTGATTCATTTAAACCATCCTCATCCTCCTCATCATCATGCTCATGTTGCTCTTGTGGATTATTGTGTTGTTGCTCCAGCTGCTGTTGTTGTATTAATTGATGTATATTATAAATTTCTTCTGAATCATCATCATCATCATCATCATCATCATCATCATCTATTTGCTCATGTACTGTAAATAGGTCTCTTGAGTTTCTTATATCATTATTTCTTGTTAGAATATTTGCTCCAATATCACATAGACAATTTTGATCATCAAGCTTTATTCGATTGGCCAATTCTCTAAATCTAGTAAATAATTTTGTAGTAATTTCAAGTTTTTTGTTTTCCTGATATTTTAATTTTAATCCAATATTTCCAGTAACTATTGTTTTAAGGTCTGGTCTAAGAGAGTTTGAGGATTGTTGTGATATGAATGGTGGTGGTTCAGTACCATCAGCTCTAAAATGTTGATAAATAGATGACAATATATCTGAATAGGTATAACTAGCATCATCATCATCATCATCACCATTATAATCATTTATTTGTTGTTGATCCAACATGTCCTCTGACAAATCAATACAATCATAATAGTTTTTCTTCTCCATAAAATATAATAATGTTATAACAATTTTTTTGAAAGGTGCTTTCCGCATATTAACTTCATTCAAAGGTTTAATAAATACTTTTGTAAATATAGATTGATTTTTAGGATTTTTAAGACATGATAATAACTTTTCAAAAAAATTAAGCTCTTTTAGAACCAAATATGATACATTTGTATCCAAAAGAAAATTATATAATTCTACTAATTTACTTTCAAAATCCGTAGTAAGTTCATTTACAATCTTTTCTAATATAAGATGGCTAACTGGCTGTTGTTGTTTTTGATGCTGTTGCATTTGTCGCATCCTCTTGGAAGAACTTGTTAATAATGGGATGATTGTTATAGGTCTTCTGCCAGTACTGCTGCTGCTACTACTACTATTATTACTACTATCACCAGCATCTTGTCCACGAATTATTTGGTTATTTGTGGTGTAAGTATTACTGTTGCTATTGTTGTTATTATTATCAGGTCTTCTTTTTCTCAAGCCATCTTTATAATCTGGAGTTGTTAATCGAGCTCTTAGGCCATAACGAGGGGCCTTGTCAGTGTTGTCAGTGAGGTCAGTGAGGTCACTCATTCTTTTAGACTTTCGTAAAAAAAAAATATATCAGTAACATGTCAGCTATGAGCATGATTGAAAATCCATTTGATTGGCTGATCGTCACACGAAATTTTGTACCAATTTCATTGATTATAAAAGTTTACTAATAAACTTTTTTCAACAAATATAAAAATAAAAATTGCATCTTCTCCTTCAAAGCAAAAGATACAAATATGAAATTAAAGAAAAATTGTAATAAATGTGATGCTGAACATGACGACAGAGAGTTTTTTTTTTAATTTTATTAGTAAGTTATCCAAAATGCTAAAAATACTGTTAAACTTTGAAACGTATAGGCTCGATAACCAAACAAGTTAGAATAAAAAAATTTCACAATTTTTTTGCTGTGATTCAAAGAATAGCCTGACAGAGAGTTTTTTTAAAAATTATTAATTGAATAAGGATTTATATATATATATATAATTTTCGATTTTTTTTTTGATAATCATTTCCTTTTGAAGAAAATTCTTAATCATTATTTTCTCGCAATTAAGGAGTAAAGGTTCTGAGGAATTAGTTTTCATTTTTTTTGACTGCATGTGTATTATGAATTAGTCTTTTTCTTTTATTGGCTTCGGCATTTTATTAAACTAGAAGACTTTTACAAATTTGACTTATTCAAATTCTAAATATTTTTTTATTTAAACTTGGATATTTTATTTTTTACGATTCTTACAATTATTATTATTATTATTATTATTATTATTATTACAGTCAAGTATTTTACCAAATTTGGAAATCGAATCTAGAAAAATTGTAACCCCCTTGTTGATCAATTCATATATGTTACAAACGATTTAACGTGCTTTGTGAAAATAAAATTTTTAAAAAAATTCTAATAATAATAATCAAAATAAATTATTCTGAATATATATTTTAAGAATCCACCAGGATCCATGCAACTTTACACACTAGTTTTTTTTTAATACATAGGAGAATTATCGGCTTAAAATCCTTTTTTTTAATTTTCAACAGTTAGTAACATAAATGTTGGACCATTATGTTTGTATGAAGAAAGCCAGCTGACGCCATGTTGGTGCAAATCTTATTATTAAGTATATTCAGAATCACCATTACTATATTTATTCATAACAATATATTTTTATCTAGGCTTTATTTATTTAAAGGTACACGTAGTTTAAGGATACCGACTGCAACTTTGATGATGGTTTTGACCACCTTTACATCATATAAAAATGATTGCAACACCTAGCAACTACTTTGTTGGATTGCAGCATGGAGCACTAAAGTAGTTCGGTATGGAAATGTAAGCATAAAACTCCAAATAAATTATTTTGTATTATTTACAATGGTGGCTATTGATTTCAATATATTAGAACTATTATAATTATTATTCATTTTTATTATATGGATTTGAAATTTATGTATCCTTTATTTATTATTTAACAGAATTATATTTCCGATGATATTATTTTAAATTCTATTTTTAAAGATAAAATGAAGGAATAAAATCATTATTAAAATATGCTATATATTGGTTAAATAGCATCTCTGGCATTGCTTGACCTTGGATAAGCTTGTAGAAAAGTTAAAAATGCACATATTGTATAATTTTGGAAATTATATGACCAATTAATAAAACCCCCGCCATGTTTTTCTTGTTTTTTTTTCCTTTAAAGATTATTTATTTTTTCAACGAAAAGATCTGCACAGGATTTAGCCAATTAGAATTTCCTTTCATAACGTCGATCATTACAGGGGATTATCCCTGATTGAATTTAGCCAATCAGAATTTCTTCTAGAATTTTTCATACCATCGATCATTACGGCATTTAGTATTTCCAAATTTGGTAAAATACTTGACCGTATTATGAAAAATTCTTTACGTTTTCTTTAAAAGGAAATGATTATCGAAAAAAAAATCGAAAAATTTAATAATAATAATAATAATAATAATAATAGTACTCGCTGACTGATTCATAGACGGATCATCAAGTAAATATTTTATTATTTTAAATTCCGGCAAATAAATACTTTTGGTTTATTAATTACCATATTGTTATTATTATTATTCAATAATATTTGCTATTTTAACGGATTAACCCGTTACCAATCTGGATGAAAAAAATCATAATGGATTCTTAACGGGTTCAAATAATAATAATATTCTTAACGGGTTCATAATAATAACGTTAACCCATTAACAATCCTGGGTTGTAATCGCAAATTTTATTTTTTCACTGCAAATGAACAACTGACAACTAATATGAAATGTCAATAATTACACCAGTAGTGTTGTTTGCAGCAGCCGTAATTATTACAGCAAACGATAGCCACCAATAGCTATTTGCGGCAATGATAGCTAGCAGGCCAGCCATTTACGACAAGTGCCTTTAGTCCTGAGAGGTGTCACTTTCACTATATGATGAAAAAGCGTTATCCATGCATTGATTGTGGCAAGCCAACTGGTTCTGCTTGTGGACATTGTGTGCTTTACATAAAGAGGATTTAATCTGAGAGTTTAGATTCTTTACATCAAAAGGTTAGGATTTGCCCAAGAGGTTAGACCTCATCCCCAGGAGGTTAGATTTTTTGGCCAAGATAAATTTGGGGATTTTTAGTATAACAAATAATAATGGTATGCTATTTAAGCTTGTTCGGCAAGCAATTCTGTTCATTGATATGAATGAAACGAACATCTATTCGCTCTGTTTTTGCTCCTTTTTAATGGCAGACAGGTATTATAAATATTTGTTAACCTATTTGATATCAAAATAAATAAGAATGGGTTCCACATATAAATATAATGATGACTTTTTGACATTGGGGATAATAGTAATGCAAATGATATATATAAAAATGACTTTGTCCCATGACCTATTCTTCTACTTTATGCAAAAACCAAAATGTGGTTCTTTCTCTTTGAATTTAAAACACAAGATATGGTTAAAAATAATAAGATTTTAGAAAAATATATTCTGAAACTGCAAGACAAATGTTGCTTCATAAATCCTGCTGCAAGCATTGCATTGTAAAGCATGCGGATGTTATGAAGCCATCAAACAAAATCCAGGCTTCTCAAATGTGCACATTCTTAATCCATCATTAATAGCCACTTTTAAATAATTACTTTGCAATGTTAGGCTTACACATTATTGTAAGCTGGACTTGTACTCAGTTAGTTACAGGTTCTTTATTTTTTTAAAGGAATTAAATTTGTGTAATAAAAAAAAGCGATACAAAATTACTATTCATGGTGGGAATTTGATTTTATTGGTTGTAAAATGTGACAAGATAAAATTTGGTCCAACATTAAAATCAAGAAAAAAAAAATATAAAAATAAGATTTATTTATATTCCGATTGCCATTAGCACCTCGTTCCCATGCCTTTAATGCGCCATTGCTATTTTAGAACTTTCGTGTAATTAACATTTTACTTTAAAATATAACGATAGTTACACGGTATCATTTCAAGATCGTCACCATGTGACAAATGTGATAAAACAAACTTATTCTTTACATCCACTTGTCTTTTTGTCTTTTGTAGTACATGTATATGAAAATTTATTATATATATATATTTTATATATATATATATATAATCTTGGAAATATAAAGGATACATTCTAATCTGGAACGAAATCAAATCAATCTAACTTCTCTTAATAGCAAAGACACTTATTTATTATGACCGCAATAGATAACAATTCTTCAGTTGTGACTGAGCCTACAAATAAACAAACAGAAATTAACGGAAACAATACTGCTATAGAGAACGATTCAAATGATAATTCTGAGAAACAAGAACAAACAAAAACAGCAACAACAACATCAACAACAACAAATTCAACGAATGTCAATGCTGGCTCTGTAGAGTATGCCTCTAATCCTAATCCTGGAACATCTTTACCTTTATCACCAATACCTAACTTTTATTATACGAACGGTGGAGCTCAAACTTACATAGACCAACAAACTGCCATCGCAGCCGAAGCCTACCAAGCTGCAATTGCAGCAGGATATGATCCAAGTGATCCAAATGCTTTTGCTGCTTATGGTCAATATGGAATGCATCCTCAATATTCACAATATTATCCTGCTGATTATGGCGTAGGGTATCCTGGAACGCCACCTCAAGGACAAACTTCTCCTTCTCTTCCACCCCAACCTTTAAGCCCCTATTTTACTGCTACAAGTCCGCCTATAGCTTATTATCCTACTTCACCACAAGTTGGGCCAACTGGTATTATACATTCACCTCCGATGCATCCCTATTTGTACACTCCTCAATCTCCTTATGGTGTTCACGCTCTTCACACTCTTTCACCAACTTTATCTCACACATCTTCTTCTGCTCCTAATTCCCCACCACCCCAATATTTACCTGGACCTGGAGTTCCCTCTCCAAAAGTTGGTCCTTTGAATAGTTCACGTAGTAGTACAAACCGTTCTCAACCAAATTATAATTATGTGAGAAGAAATTCAGCTTCTCAACAAGCATCCAATGGTCCTAATTTCAGCAACCCAACAAGGACTACAAATATTTACATTCGTGGATTACCACCTACCACAACCGACGATTCTTTACATACGACGTGTTCCGTGTAAGTTGTTTTATCTAAGTAGGAGTTTTTTGTGTTAATTTATTTGATATTGTAAATATATATATATATATATTTATATATTTATATAATTAATGGATAACATTTTAGGTACGGAAATATTACTTCTTCAAAAGCCATTATAGATCAAAAACAAGGTGATTGTAAAGGTTATGGCTTTGTGATGTATGAAACTGAAGATCAAGCAAAGCATGCAATTGAACAATTGACGCGATTGGGATTACAAGTCTCTTTCGCTAAGGTCGGTTATGTGAGTGCAATTTTATAATTTATATTTTTATTGGTTTTATAATAAATAAAATTTTTTTGATCATTTACTAAAAACTTTTTTTAAAACATATTTATATGTGTGATGATGATGATGATGATGATGATGATGATGATAAACGACT